GAAATCGAAGAGAAGATTCACAATTGTAAACCCTCTGTCTCTAGAGACAGATTAGTAGCTCGCAGAAGGGATATGCCAAGACAAGCATCCCATAAATGATGGGAAACCCTCTGTAATAACATGGCCGTGGCAGACGGCTGCTGTTGGAACATTCTGAAGAGGATCTACGACCCACGCCCCCTCAGGACACCGGCGATAAAGATTAATAACACACTACTCACAGAAAATCAGAAATCCAAGCACTTTATCTGTTTATATTCACAAAGAGCTAAACAGCACCCACATTCCTACCCTCCACCACCCATTCCCATCACCAATACAGAATTCATACCCATTACAGCAGCAGAATAGGAACGGGCACAGCGTCTCCTTCCTAAAGGGACGGCCGCATGTCCAGACGGTATCTACGGCGAGGCACTCCAACACTTGGGACCCCGTGCCAAAGCGGAGACCCTTGCCCTCTTCAACGAGAGCCTTCGTACGGGCGTTGGTCCAGTCTCTTGGAAAGTAGGCATTATTGTACCACTTCTTAAACCAGGAAAGAAGGCCACCGACTTGGATTCATTCAGACCAGTTACCCTCACTAGTTGTCTGTCCAAATTAATGGAACGGATCATTGCAGCACGAATTAGAGATGTCATTGAAACCAAGCTGACCCCGCAATAATCTGGATTTAGATCTGGTCACCCTACATTAGATCAACTATTACACCTCCGCGCAGCCCTCACAAGACCCACCCCTGATTCGCGTACAGGTGCAGTATTCGTCGACTACGCCAAGGCTTTCGATACTGTAGACCATGATCGCATAGTTAGTGCGATGCGAGAGATGGATATCCCACCGCACATCATTCGATGGTCTGCATCTTTCCTGAAAGGACTCCAAGCCAAAGTGCGCGTAAACAGTAAATCCTCTCCTTTAATGCTTTTCCACCGTGGCGTGCCACAAGGAACAGTCCTCGGCCCACTTATGTTCATTATCGTCATGAACACCCTAAGCAAACGATTATCCCAAGTTCCCTTATTGTTCCATGGTTTTTTCGCCGATGATCTCACGCTAGCAGTACGACACGTCAACCGAGACATCATCAACAGTACACTGCAACAAGGACTAAACGTGGTGGATGAATGGTCCAAGAACTATTTTATGGACATTAATGTGGACAAAACGAAATACACACTTTTTGGTACCACCAACCCGCATCCCCTTTCACTGAAACTACGCGGTATCCCCGTAGGCCCGGAGAAGGCACCTAAACTCTTGGGCATCACATTCCAAAACTACCGAGGCATGTCTACCCATGTGGTTCAAACGAGACAACACATGAATTTTAGATTACTACAACTTGCAGCAATCTCCTCCACCACATGGGGACCGAAGCGTGACGTCCTCCGAGCCTTCTACCTGACGCTAGTTCAAGCCCAGACGCTCTACGGCTTTGAGATCTGGTATTG